AGGAACATCATATGATGGAAGCAGTGGTGGACCCAGCAATATTAAAAGAGACATGCCAAGTCCCCAAAAGGTGACAATAAAAAGCAGTGATGGTCATACAAGGGTTATTAGAATCAGGACTGATGGAGATGATGATACCCCTTTATCATCAAAAAAAGAAGAATATAAATCTTTTGCCAAGATTGTTTATGAATTGGGAGAAAATGACTCCTATTTTATTTCATCAGGAGATCATGTTTATCCCAAGTTGATCATTACCAAAGATGCAGACCCCCTAATGGTCAAAATGGCAGCTGATTATGGATTTTTAGATCTGATCTACCCCGAAAAGGATCTAAAAGAAATTGAAAAAATTTATAGTATATTTAAATCAGAAATATCAAAATTTGCTCAAGGACGATCCATATATATATAATTTTATTCAACAATCCTGAAGTTGATGGAAGGATATTTTATCCTGCAGAGCATATTATAACAGTTGGATATGTTGGCCATGATTTTCAAATTGAGGTTGGCCAAAATAAAAGGACAATAACAAAAATTACCCAATCATGGATGAAATCTCGAAGAGTTTTGGGATTAAAAGTTCTTTATAATATGGCAAAAAATCTGTATGATAAAAAATTTAAATGTCTTTGCCAATATGAAGGATGGACACTCCTCACCAATAATGGAAGGGAGAAATCAACAGTGTTGGAAGAATATATTTAAAAATTTGATACCCATCAGATCAGTGGAAGCCCTACAACAATCCAAGAATCATGCAGGCTGAGGGACTGTCCCACGTGCAAACAAAAATAAAGAAGACATGACATAAAGAAGATAGATAATGGAATGCTTTTGACAAAGCACGAAAAGATAAGATTATGGAAGGACAACTGTGCCTTTGATAAATGCATATAATGGTGAACCACGACAATAATGAAGAAAAGAAGTAANAAAAATAAAAGAAGACATGACATAAAAGAGATAGATAATGGAATGCTTTTGACAAAGCACAAAAAGATAAGATGATAAAAGGACGACTGTGCCTTTGATGCATGCATATAATGGTGGACCAAGACAATAATGCAAGAAAAGAAACGATAATGTAGGACCTCCAAAATAATAATAGAGAGACAGGTGTGTCTCAAATGAAATAATTGATGTATAGAATAGTGGTTTCAATAATTGTAACCGTGTATAAATAGAAGCTTTTGGGCAAGAAGAAAGGAAGAACGAATTTGAGCACTCAGTTTGTGAGCAAGCCAAAAATCTTCTGTCAATCTTGTATCAATTTCAAGAATATCAATAAATCAAATTTTGAATAGATCATTCACATTCTAATCCTCTCAAAAGGATATGAGTTTCTAAATTTATTTTCACATAAATTCTTGAAAAATCAGATAGAGAATTTCTTTCTTACTTTAGCAATAAACAATTTTTTTCTTTAATAGAAGTCTACAAATTTAATTTTTAGAAATAATACAGTGATAGCAAGAAGGTGGAATAGCAAGAATTCCGTGAAAGTAGGAAGCCATTGAAGGGAGTGGTTTGCACATCCAGAGCTCGAAGATCACTTAATTCTGAGGTTAGAAATCCTAACCAAAATTAAAGTAAAACTACTTATTTTCTGCTAAATTTAGAAAGCACTCTCTTAGATTTTAAAGAATCGCATGACTCAATTGTTATGATGTTTTATTATAATATCGT